AAATGTGCTCTATCCACTCAATAGAGTACTACTTTCGCTTAAGCAGATAGGAACTGGTGACTTATGCTTGGTTTATACGGGGATGAACCTTGGGGACATAATGCTGAACGAAGTAAGTCAGATCAGAAAACGACAGGTACCGCACAAGTCCATGGTGTGCGGCAGCGGGAGCTCTCAGATTCATTGAGACAGAAAGTAGGATGGTGGGTTGGGAGTTGTTAAGTGGGTGGAGAGTTTAGTTTGCAAGATGAACAAGTGGCAGAGGTTGACTGCACAATATTGTGAATGTGTTTAACACTGCTGATCTTAAAGACGACTTGGTAAATTTTATTTCCATAAATTTACAGTCCTATATGCTAGTGTTCCCCTTAAGTGGGCAACTAGCAGGACCCAGGCTTGCAGTCCTTCCCCCAGAGAAAGGCCATTTTGCTCCTCGGTGGTCTGTCCTTTCCTTGCTGTATCTTCATTGTGCCGCACACAAAAACACCCTGAGAAATGTCCTGTGGCACCTGCTCTCCTCCAGCTGAGGCACCAGCTAGCAGTATGCCGCATGGATGTAATCTTTTGTCAGTAATCTTGCTGCTGCTGCTGCTGCTGCTGTGAACATTCTTATGCAGCTCTAACTTTGGGGGGTATCTCCAGATTCTGGGGAGTCTCACATTTGAGCCTATTGCTGTCACCTCAGATTCTTGGAGACATGCTTTGTGATGGTGCAGGGACCTGCAGGACCACATGCTGGCCAGGCTGCTAGGCAGACACGGGACGCCCACATCCAGGAAGCGGCCTGCTAGCCAAAAAGCCAGTTCTGCCTTACTCCTTTGAGTGCTCCCCAGAGCCTCTTCAGTGCACTTCAGACCTGGAGAGAGGAGGGCCTCTGGCAACTCTGGAGAAGGAGACAGGCAGCTTCATATGCATGTGACCCTCGGGTTTGTCAGCACAGCCATTCTGTCTAGCTCAGACAGGTTGATGCTCCGCTTCACGGGCTAGTTAAGGACTCAACATGTGAAGTGATCTCAGTGCTTCCAGGGGGTAGCAGAAAACTGTTCCATCAGTTCCAGAAAACATGCCAGATACAAAAGGTTCAGAGCTAGTTGGTGAAATGAGAATCTCCTTTTTCTCCAGAGCCATTTCAGTCCCCTCTCCAGTGACAGGGATAATTCTCAGGTCTTTGCATATCCCTCCAGAAAAGTCTTGTGGGAGAAAAAAGTGTGTGTGTGTGTGTGTGTGTGTGTGTGTGTGTGTGTCCCTTTTGATACATTTAGATAGCATACTATAAACAATACTCTATACTGACCTTTTTTGGTTATTTGTTGGAAACTGCCATTATCAGTGCTCTCCTTTATTAAACAAAGCAAAACTATAGTCCCTAACCTGGGGTTTAAACCTGGGGTTTAATTCCAATTAGCTTTTTTTTAAAAAATCTGCTTCTGGGTTCATATTGGGGATTGCCTAGTGAAGTGGTTTGAGGCTATCTCCTAACAGGCTATTCCCTTATTCGGGTTACCTTTGACTCAGAAACAAAAACAGAGCAATACCTGAGGCCAGCGGGGTAACTGGGAGTTAGCTGCAAGATTTCTGAAGTAAAGTCCAGCATTGCATGTCACCTGCAGGAACTGAATGAGCCGTCTAGGTGGCCTATAAAACCTAAGGTTGTGGGGCATATGGCACCCCTGCTCCAGTCAGATTGGAGAAGTGTGGGTGCTGACTGCTGGGTGGAGTGGCCTCCAACACAAGGAACCTCCTACTTGTGTGTGTCTCCTTTATTCGTCCATTGGAATCTTGCCTTGCCAGGACTTTGCTTTTGTCTTTTCCAGTAAAAACTAAGACTCCTACATCCAAGGATGTAGCTTGCTTGCAGTGTTTCCTGCTGAGCAACTTCAGAGGCTGCAATCTGATCAGCCCCTGAGAAACTCCTGCATTGTGACTGCATGTTTTTGGAGCCTTGGTTCAACAAGGATGGATAGGCATGGGTTGACATTAAGGCAGAGTGTGCTAGGAAACCATGCATATGCTTCAGCAGGCTTGGGGTGTGTGTATATGGAGTGAACACACCTGTCTATACACAATCCTCACCTCATGGTGGTCACAACTGCTTGAGGCCCAGGACAGGTGGAAGAGGCTGTAGATCAGGACTGTGGCTCCTGTGCAGTTGGGGTGACACCAGCAGTCAGACAGGAGCATGGGGGTGCTGGCCTGTCCTTCCAGGCAGGTAGGCATGGAACACAGCTACTCATCTGTGTTAACAAACCACACCTTGCCTTCGAATTTTTGCCTGAGGAACCATAGGGAGCCGCCCAGGTTGGGATAGGGAAGGTGGGGTGGAAGGTATGTGTGCTGCTAGGCAGGGCAGCAAGGAGCTGGCAAGGAGCTGGAGGTGGGGAGGGGATGGGTTGAGGCAAGGTGTGTCCCCTGATGTTTCTGAGTTGCCTAATTTTTGGTGCTGGGGTTCAGCTGGCATCTTCCTATTCAGCATAACTATTACTTTTGTTACAGGCAGAATAGATTGCCTCTCAGGCTGACAACAGGTGTCCTCTGGCCTGGTTTTGATATTCAGTAGAGCACACTACTGACTGGGAGGTGACTCCTTCAGTTCACAAATGGGTACAGGACTGGGCACCTCACTCTCCCTTTGCCCCTTTTGGCTAATGAGCTTCAGAACACAAAGGAGAATGTGCCACCTGGGATGCTCCTTTCCCATACCTGCACTCTTGGACAGTCAGCCATTACTAGGGACATGTGTTTCTCGTGACCACATAGAAACAGTCCAGTTTACTTATGTAGCAAGAAACCCTGCCCCTAAGGTTTGTTTTGTTTGCTAGAGGTGGCTTTTACAGTGCCTGACTCCTTCTGGGAGCAGTAACTAAGTGACCTCCCTCCCACCCCTCTGAATTAAAACCAAATGAAGATGCTCCATGGAGCCCTTCAAAGAAAAAAAATTAACTTTTCTTGTCTCAAACTTCCAGTGGGTTCTTACAGAAACAGCTGGGTAACTTGTCCCGGAGTGCAGCCCAGTCTGCAGTCACACTGCTTTGGCAGTGTCCTATGTGTAGGAGGCTCTTGTCTGACCCCTAGGGAGTGATTTCTCCCCGTGTACAATTTAATTAGGGCCTATGATTTAATTAGGAGGCTCCCCTGCACCCAGCTGAATTACAGTTAGTTTTCCAGAATAGAGTCCCTTTGTCTGTCCCAGCCCAACATCTTGTTACACTGGCTTCCACCTGGGAGCAGAGGCCCTGGGGGCCCTCCCCTGGGGATAGCCTCCCCATACACTTTTGCTTCTAAATTGACCACAGGAGAGCCATAATCAGTCATTTATCCCCCAGAGAAACTGGTCTCTTAGGTTTCTTTGTTTGCTAAAGTAGTTTTTACAGTTCATTGCAGGCTGGAGGATGGGGCAACCTTAATGTTCAATCAGAGACTCTGGGATCACTTTGTTTTAGTCTTCCCTGGTCACCAACCAGGAAGTTGAGCCTTGCTACCCAAGGCTTTCCCAAGCAGCCACCTGGTGTATGTCAAAGATGGGAGGAGACACAGGCTTTCACGTCTGAGCGTAGGGCCTTCTTGGTGGCATCGAAGGAGCCACTTCTGTTGAGGTCAGGCAGGACCTGAGTCTGAGCAGGAGGGGTGAGTGGGGGTGCTAAATAGAAGGTGCTGCCTTTCACTGAGGTGTGTGACAGGAAGGTGCCTCTCACAGCACCTTCTGGTGTGGTGTTGGGTTGGTGTTATGGTTAAAAACTAGATCCAGACTTGAGGGCTGAGTCACCCAGGGTCCATGTCAGATGGGATAAATCAGACTTTCTCATCAGTTGAACTGACAAAGCGAAACTAGGAGAAACACATGTGCTGGGTTGACAGCGTGGAGGTGCAAGACCTGCACAGGCTGTGACAAGCCAGGTGGAAAGAGCGAGCATGTACACGTCTCTATTTAGGCCTGTCTGCTGGGGATGTGAGAAGAATCTGCTCTGGTGGGAAGTTCATGCCAGAGAGGCCACAAGCTGAGAACTGCTGAAAATGCCCTCTGGCCTGTGGTCACTGATGGGGCTATAGGCCTTTTGCTGGTGAGGCTTGTGTCACTCTAGTCCTGGGGGAACGTTGGAGCAGCTCAGCCATTTGAAGTGGACCTTTGTGAACAGTATTTCCTATGTAAGTAAGAGAAGCATTTACTAGCAGTAAGTAGAGTTCTGGATGACAGGACGGGGCTGGGAACCTTCTGCGGGTGCCTGCAGCCATCCACATGCTCACAAAATGTGAGGTCTGCTGTTCTCCAGGTGTTGTCTTTTCTTAGTTAAATCAAAGAACTTTTTCTAAGTGGTGGCTGGTGTTCTGGGGCTCTTGGGAACCTAGCTATGGCTCCTTTCAAACTGCCCGCCCCCACCCCCCCACCCCAGCAGAGCCCTGGGGGGTGGCCCTGCTGGCCTGGGAAGGAACTTGGGGGCTTTGTGTAATTTGTCCTCCCTTGAGGCCCAAAGGAATTTTGTTCTTCAGCACCCAAGGCAAAGGTGACTGTACCATTTGTTCTGGAAGGGGAACTTCCGAAGGTTGCAAAGGGCAGGGGATTGCCAGTATCTCTCTGAGAGATCTACTGGTTTCCAGTGAAGAATCCTCGTTCACTTGTCTTAACAAGAGCAGATTTCACCCTGTCAACCTTGGACTTCTATTTTGTTCATGTTACTCAGGGCAGGGCAGAAATCATTTTTTTTTCTTTGAACTCTTTTGATAACTTGCAGAGTTCTCTGATTTAGGTCCCGCTGAAAATCCCGTAGACATTCGGCATCTTAAAGATCTGGGTACTCCTTTTCCTGTGTCATTTTCTGTTTCACTCTTTTATTCCCTCAGAAAACAAAAATCTTTATTCATTATCTGGTGTGTTGGGGTCTAAGGGAAATGAGAACTCAAGTGCAAGAAGCCCTCAAACCCATCTCTGGCTTACCTTTGGTGTCTCAGCAGAAAAACAGTAAGTGCCTGGGCCTAACTGTTCTCTACCTGCCCTCTGTCACCAGGGTGAGCTTATCGGCCACAGACTGTTACATCGTGCACGAGATCTACAATGGGGAGAATGCCCAGGACCAGTTTGAATACGAGCTGGAGCAGGCCCTGGAAGCCCAGTACAAGTACATCGTCATCGAGCCCACCCGCATTGGTGATGAAACCGCCCGCTGGATCACCGTGGGCAACTGCCTGCACAAGACCACCGTGCTGGCGGGCACTGCCTGCCTCTTCACCCCGTTGGCACTGCCCTTAGATTATTCCCACTACATCTCCCTGCCTGCTGGTGTGCTGAGCCTGGCCTGCTGCACCCTCTATGGCATCTCCTGGCAGTTTGACCCTTGCTGCAAGTATCAGGTGGAGTACGACGCCTATAAACTGTCCCGCCTGCCCCTGCACACACTCACTTCCTCCACCCCGGTGGTGCTGGTCCGGAAGGACGACTTGCACAGAAAGAGACTGCACAACACGATAGCACTGGCCGCCCTGGTGTACTGTGTAAAGAAGATTTACGAACTCTACTCCGTATGATTTCAGTAGAACAGGGAGAGAAGCAAACAACCCAGCCATGAGAGACAACAGAATACTCAGATTGCCACAGTAACATTTTTCTCTGTGAGGCAGTGGAGCCTGGGAAGAAAGGTGTTTGGTTTAATACTTGTTTTAAAAAAAAAAAAATGACACAGATCACAAGTGTACCGAGGGTTTTTTCAACTCATTACACTAAGACGTGGGTTTCTGTAACCCACGGGGGTCTGAGGCTGTGGAAGTCTGACTGGGCAGCGGAATCTGGACGGAAGCAGCGCTACTGAGGGGTGTGAACGTGCTTGGGAGGGGGGGGTCTTTAAATATATTGTTTAACTGTACCATTCAGAGCCAACCAGAAGCTATTGACCATTAAAATTATGAGAATTTCAACTCCACGTGTCTCTTGTTCCATGACTGCCTGCACCTGCTGCCAGTCGACCCTGGCTGGCACCATGTGCAGGGGAGGCTGGCACCACGGGAATTGCCCTTCATCGGCTGCAGCCCGTGTCACCATGCATAAGAACAGGCCTTTGTACTGCACATGTGGCCCCAGGGTCAGAACGGAGCAGTCTCGTTTCTCACCTTGGCCTTGATTCCAAAGCCAGCGTTATCTGAGGTACTTGATGGGGTATGGTGACAAAGTTTTTAGGTCCCTGAGTTTCCATTTGGATTCACCTGGAGGACTCTTGGGACCTGATTTCCAACGATTCCAGTTTAGGAGGACACACTCTTTTCTTTGAGCATCAAAGCTGCCAATGGGCCATTATTTCAATCCATTGCTATAGATGCAGGGAAACACCCACAAAGGCACCCCCCCACCCCACCCCCAGCCCAGGCCTTTCCTCCAGGAGTCAAGACCTGGATTCCCTCCCATACGAGAACTTACAGTGCGCTATCTTCCACATGTCCTCCAAGGTGCTGGAGAAATGGAAAGTGATCTCTCCACAGCTGGCTCTGCCCTAACTGCAGCCTTCTGGCCTCTTGCTCCCAGTCATCCCTGGAGAGCTGTACAGACTTCTGATTGGCCCTCTGAAGAGCACCCAGCTTGATGTCTCATCTAGTTTTAGAGCCTCCATTGGGGATGTCTGGTACTAGAGAGTAATGAGCAGGTGCAGGGGAAGGCATTTGGAGTGACTGGGCCATTTTTTACAGGAATAAGATCCAGATCCTTTAAAAGATTTCAAGAGACCTGTGGTCCAAAGGAGTTTGAGAATCTAATTCCAAGGGCCCTAGAGATACTGCCAATCACTGATTTGAGTGCAGGGTGGCCACTGCCCTGTTTACATGGCAGCCTGGCCATCTGGAACAGGTCTAAGTTGGTAGTGATCCCAGACAAACAAACCTCCCTTCTGCTGCCATACCCACAACCCCATTGGGCTGTTGAGCCTGTGGGGTGAGAATAATAGGTGTTTTTATACCATCCAAGATTTGTAAAGGGTGCCCCAAGCTCTGCTTACTTAGAAATCAGATTTCGCAGGGAGGTGACTGGAAACAGACAAAGCAGTGGCCCTATCAGGTCAGCTGAGAATCCCTCACCAGAAATAGAAGCCAGGTGGCTCCAGCTGCCCAGAACGAAGTGGTTCTTGTTTGGGTGGACTAGCCTTGATCCTGAAATGCCATCTTAGTTACACGTACCAAGGCCAAGGACAGGACTCATTGTGGCTGTGGGCCTCAGGCTAGGGCTTCTGGGTTCCAGGCCTCTACGTGTGCACCAGCCACACCTCCTGTCTGGAGGGCTGCCCTGTTGGACTGGTTTATTTCTGCCACTTTCCCACTTAGCATTGCACAAGTGGGTTCTGTTCCTCTGTGGAATACCACAGTGCCCTTAAAGAAACAGCATTAAGTAACTGCCAACTGAGAAAGCAAAGGCCAAGTTAGCCAAGAGGTGAGCCTGGTTCACTTCTGCAAAATGTACGTGAGCCCTGTGTGTGCCATTTCAGGGTGTGGATCATGTCGTTGGCCACCTATTACTACCCCGATCTCTGGAGAACAAGCCTTTATGTAAAAGGTGTAGAGGAGCAGACCTGGTCAACATGCACGTCTTGTTATGGTCTCAGTTCCCTCCAGTGTTCACAGGTGGTGCAGCAGCTTTGGGCCCCTGACAAGGGGGTGAGGCTGGGGAGCTCAGAGCAAGGTCTGGGAGCAGCTGTGCCCAGAGAAACCCAGTGGGTCTTTGCAGTATCAGATTTTGGCCTAAAGCAAAAGAGGGCCTGTTCCTGCCCTAAGGCCAGTGTGGAAAATGTGTTTGAACTTTATCTGAAGGCAAAGCCAATTCTGATTCATGCATATTGAACCTCCCCAGCAGATTTCACGGATGAAAGAGAAAACACCTTTTGAGGACAGAAAAGGGAAAGTGGAGCAGCAGCAGCACCAGCTCTAGGGGGCAATGGTTGATAACCCAGCACAAGCCTGGTGTGGGTGCCCTGCTGGGAAAGTGCAGTGTTCGTTCAATCACCAGCCAGCAGGCTCCATCATCCCCTCCTGGAGCCAAACCACTGTCCTCAAGATTGCTTCAGGCACAAGGGTATTAGAGAACATTGAATTGTAGCCCCTCATTTGTCCTACCCTCCAAGACACAAAGAGCAAATATCTGCAGTGTGAACGCACCAACACCTCTGACCTGCTGCCTACCTCCAGAGCAGCTGGCGCGCGTCCTCGGACAGCAAGATTTTAAAAGTTCTGTTTGTATGTCAGACTATAGAATGTTAGGTGAATATTAAGTGGCAGCTGGTTAGCTAGTTAAAAGACCCTGATGTCCGCACTCCATGTACCCACACCGGCATCAGGGCTCCTACCAGCCACTTCAATGACAGAAGTGATGCCATCTTTTGATGACAGGATGCCAAGTTGAATCTTCAGGACTAGTGTATCAGCAGTCCCAGCTGTTGGCCATTTTCGGTAACAGGAAGGCAAGGACTGCACCTGGGTGTGGCCCCCACTAGTCAATGGGGCCGAGGTGAGCCATTCTCTCATTCCCAAATTCCTCCATTGCTGCCATGTACCAAGGACCTGCTGCGCACTGGGCAACCTTACTTTTTGGACTTGGCGAGGCTCTTGAGTGGCTGCCCTGCTGTCGTGGTTCCAGCTCCTCCCCAGCTCTAACGCAAACACCAAGATCATTTTTGTGCCAGGAAAATAGGTTTATTATGGAAAGAGCCACCTGTGATGTCTGCATCCACCTGTCAACCTGTGTGCCTAGAGTTGGGAGAAGGGAGACCTCTAGGTCTAACCCTCTACTTGTCCTATTCCCAAGATACTTAAGAGTCTCAAACAGCCTGAACACAGGCTGGCTATGGCCATTCTTAATTTCTTAATTCCAGGGAACTGTTTCAAAGACAAAACACCATAAGGCAAAGTTAGGGCATGGTGTAAGATGAGTTATGATGTTAGTTTTTTTATTCCAACCTGGGTAAGCCTGTACAATGGACCCACAATTTCCACTGTCATCTTCAACAATGGTTAAGTTTTGTCCTAAACTTCAAGTGGGAAGTTAACTCAATGAGCCATAACTATGTATTTTAAGTAAACAAGAGAGATGGAAGCAGGTATTTCTGGCTAGGCTCCAAAGTCACAGCTAATAAACAGACTGGTTCCACCAGCAGAGCAGATACTGCGTTAGAATCCTTCCCCACCTGTGTTGAGTATTTTCTAGATCTATGTGGGGCCATGTCCAACGGCAACCTACCTTTTGGCTGCTCTCTCCTTAGTAAGTTCATCTGTGTGGAGTGATGTCTGGTGAGAACGAACAGGGAACCTGTGGAACTGCTTTCAGAGGGTAAAGCTGGGTTCACTTGGGCTGCCAAATGATGGATCGCATTAGTCCATTTGTGGTACTAATGAGACTGCTGGAGCCTGGAAATGGACTCCACCCATGTGGTGGTTTTGGATAAGCCCGATATGAGAAGAGGGGCCCAGTGGTGTCAGGATGGCTTCTGATATCAAGACTGAAACACTTTCTAAATAGAAGCTATAGTTCAAAGGAGGTTATTTCTAGAGGATTTCAACGCTTACTGCTACATTAATTTATTTCATCCTGAAATAAAACCCAGCTCCTAAGTTATTCCTTCACCCTCACCCATGGGAAGAAGTTGGTGGCATTTTCGGTCCCATTCTCTTCTTTCAGGGGCTTACCCAGAAATCTGCAGAAACTTATCTTTTATCTTTCCCAACCGAGACAACTATCCAGTAAAGCCTCAGAGCAGCAGTGTCAGGAGAGTGCTGCTCCCCTGCTGGGTTCTGCTGGCACTAGGAGTTCTTGGATTTCTGCTCCTTTCTGGCCCGAGAGGCCATGAGGCTGAAGAAGATCTCAGGAGCCAGAGTTCGAAGATAAATGGCCAAGCAAGGAACCAGGTCAGCCAGGATCACATCTTTCTGTTTCTTTCCCACAGCTGTGAGAACATCTTGAGCTACCTCTTCAGCGCTTCGACCCTGGGCTGTGGTCTTGTCCATAACTAAAATAAACAAAAGAAACACATGAATGTGGAAGCAGAAGTCCCTCTCTCTTGAGGACTTGAGCTGTTGTAGGCTGCTTCATGGGCTGCTGGGTAGGCTTGGTGGGGTTTCCCCAGGAGCCTACCAGGAGACAGGCAGTGTGCGCCACCCGTCTCCTGTACTCTGAGGCAACGAGAGATCCTCTGCAGGCCTGTGAGTGGAGAACCCAAGTCAGCTCATCTGCATGGCTGTCTGTGGCAAAGGCAGAGGCCAATTCAAATATATTAGTCTCCAAGAGTGATCCCCTCACATACCTGAGGTCCTTCCTGTTCTTGGGAATCGAACACCATGCCTATTAAAATATAAGCAGTGACTAAGGATGCCAAACAATCAGATTTGTCTAGAGTAGCTTGGCTTCAGGGTTGCCAGAGATGGGACAGAAGACTGTTACCCCACATGCACCAGGAACTCAATGAGGTAAAAGTGAAGAGGTGAGAGAGGAAAAGATGCCACAGTTCCCCGCGAGCGGCTTGTGTTCACTGAATAGGAACAGGAAGAAATCCTTGGGTTTGTTTTAGCATTAAAGGAGACAGCTGTGGAGAATTTAGGAGGCATTAGATTGGTTAATAGCAACTGATGTTCCTTCTTTCCTAATCTGACAAGTCTTTTGACGACAGGACCAGCTGGCAGGCACAGAGCAGAAATCAAAAACCCAGACCACTTAAAACCATTCAAACTATCCAAATTGCCTGAGCTTCCTTATCAGTACCTGTTCTGTGTGTCTTCATTCGAATAGGTGGTTTCTGACTGTCAATTTTAAAATGCCACAGAGGGAATAAAAGAGGTTTGTCTAGGTAAAAATAGGTGTAGGGCTCCCTGGCCCCGCACCTCTCTGTGGTTTCTGCTGACTTGCTGAGTGACAGAGAAGCTGCCACACAGGGCATGGGCAGTCTGGCTCA